AATTAGGAAATTAGATCACGTGTTGCGGTGTCGGTAGCAATTCCCGTCACGTTTTCTCACTTACTCACGTGCCTACAGCTAGGTCACTTTTGCCTCTCACACCGGCTCCCTACATTTCTAGGCAAAGTAAATGCAATGTCGACAGAAAAAAGCATTATCTGTAAGTGTATGAAATAAATTACATAATTTTCCGGTATTTGATCAAAGTTATTATATCGATATACAATGTTTAAAGTTTACACTACTGATTTCTTAGTCAATTTAAAAGGAATAATATTCAAATTAGGTTAGAATAAGTACTTTATATATCATAAAAATTACATCATACGTATACGGTAATCAGGAATTTAAGTCGACTTGTATCATTTGAATCTTGGCAATTTGTTTTTTCTTGGCAGACTTTCAAAAAATAAACATAAAATCATTAAGAACAAAATGATCATATATGTAATCAACAAAAGTCAATTTTAGCGATTTCATCATTATTGGATATTTATACAGCTTTCGTTATAAGTTGCCAGGTAAAACAATTTTACAAAATGAAGGTCTAGTTTACTATAATTTATTTTAGATATTGAATATTTACTTCTGTATATTCACATTCACATGATTGATAATTGTATAAGTTTAATACAGCAAGAAAGCACCTTTCCATGACTTGTAAACAGGAAAAAAATATAGGCCACTTGCGCAGGATCGCGAGTCTGCTAAGAACCAATAGTATTAATTCTTGCTTATGTTAATCGTGTAACACTTGTTATGTTGGCATTGTTTTACAATATAAATTTAGGTGACAAATATAAAGCAAAATGAAAATATAAATGGATTACTTGACTTATATTGTAACACATGGATTTCGCGAATATTTAGTGCAAAAACTGATTCTTTCGCTAACCATTTCACCATTCTCATGATGAATTATTTTTTAAATAACATAATTTGAATTCAACAAATAATAATACCTATCCCCATTAATTTTTTATAAAATGCGCATTTTCACTACTCTCGTCCTACCCCTCATAATATCCATTTTAATAATCTCTTCAAATGCTACTACATTACATAATATGAGCAGGGCTCTTTTAGACCAGGATGAAGATATTGAAATTTACACTTATGATGTAAATACCTTTATTGTCATTGGTCATCCTCCTATCCCATATAATGAACGTCATAAGTCCAAGTGTCATTATCATCGTACAATATATAAACGTCGTCATCCCGTAATTTACAGCAAACGTCAATATGGTAGTTCGGAAAATTCTACATCTTTTGCATCAATCTCGAAAAATAAGAATTGGTATTCTTCTTTATTGATCATTAGTGTTTTGATTATTAGATCCTATTTATAATTTGAAAATGTATTTTATAATAAAAATTGGAAATGGGATATCGCATATAAACGGAACAAAAGTTGGATAATTATTGAGATTTTTAGAATTTTGGTAATTTATTATCAGAACATGTTAAAATTTTTAGAAAATCTTAATTGATGTTTCATGTTTTTTAACTTGTTTTTTATAAATAAATTTTTCACTTTTTCTTCCAATCGAACAATTAAATTGTTGAAATTTTAAATATTACTTCATTTATTTATAAATATTAAAAGGATTACAGTTAATGAAAATATCTAATTTAGCAATCCGCTGAAATGTATTAGGGATTTCAGAATTAGAAAGTAGGGTTTAAAAATCGTATTTGTATAATTAATTTTAAATTGGAAATTAAATAGGAATGTTTAATTAAATCTAAATAGATGTTATCTTCACCACATATATATGCTTAAGTCCAAGGATCTATCATCAATAATATTATTTGAATAAAGAAAATATTCAGTAATTATGACAAAACAATTGTCATAGTGGTTGCCGCCGTAATTACTAAATTACGACAGATGCCACAATGCCATAAATACTTACGACATAGTGTCTGAATTCCGTAAAAGCTGTAAACCGTAATGCCGCTAAATTAGATTAGTGAAATCCTCCATCCTTAAGAATTTCGCTAGAAAATTAAATTTCAAGATTAGGAAAAAAAAACTCAATCCAAAAGATCGTTCGTAACTCAAAATTTTGCATACGTACTACAGTACCTTATAACGATAAGTAACTCTGATCTAGATTGGTAGCGCAACATTTGCGTGATATTTGAGAGTAACTTTTTTTGAAGATCATCTAAAATTTATTTAGCCGTATATATTTGATTTTTTACGAGAAACTAGAAATTGCACATACAATCGGCTTCTTCGCCTAGTTTAAATAGTTAATAATTAAAATTACTAGCACACATCGTATATGATCCTTATACTTTATAAATCTATAATGAATTAGTTTAATTAATTATACAAGTGATGAATTAAGTAATTGTTATCTGTCATGATCTAGGTGATAACTGATTATTCGCTCGGATACTGTGCTTATGGCATCATGCCATAATGCAGTATCCGTTGTGAAGAAATCAGTTATCATCTACCATACAGTAACTTGACTGATAACTGAGTTATCCGACATGTCTGACGTAAGCACTTTATAACATCAAATACATAAATTTTTATTCACCTCGTAAGAGGTGATAAAAATTTGTGTATTGTATTAGGAGTGAACGAATAAGTTATACAAAAATCATTAAGTCTTACGTCAGACATGTCGGATAATTTCTTTAAAAAAATCTAAATTTTTTGCCTTAACTAGATAAGGTCTTAGAACACAATGATGCTGAGTAGTTCAAATGCTCTTACACAATAACATTATTAACAGTAAATTTTTCGATATTCCATCTAATCAAGATTGTTAAATATACATGCAAATCCTCTTTTGCCTAATTTCTCGAATATTAGATAATCTTAGAATCTAGAATTACGGCAAATGCCGTATTTTTTGCTGTAATGCACAAATGCTGTAATGCCGTGGTATAGTGGTGAGAAATTACAGATCGAAACATGTAGGGCTATTTTTTTTTTTTTTTTTTTTTTTACCAAAAAGTTGAGAAAAGTACTAAACTTGTGCTTACGCATCTAATTTTTAAATATATTCGATCCAAAAAGTGGCTTAAGCTATGGCATGGCTCAGGTGACTCAATTAACAGGAGTAAAATAGGACCCCGAATAATACCGATACTAACAAAGTCGAAAGTGGCTTAAAATCAATTAAAACTTTGACAAAACTGCAAATCTGATTGGTCAAAATTTTTTAACCAATTAAAATTCAAGGAAAGTGGACAAAGCAGGTAGAAATTCCAATATAACCTTTGTTAGTATTATTCGGGTTCTATGGTGCGAGGGATTGATGATTAGATGCCATAAAACCCAAAATCTTAGATTTAAAATGTAACACATGTGTAACTTGTTGGTAAATATTTAGATACGTAATGATAATGCAAAAATTATTAATATTCAAATACATAACATTTATTCAAGATATGGAAAATTAAAAAATAATTCCTCAAAAAAGAACAAATATTTTTAAAAAATACGTAATTTGATGGACCTTATCTAGAACTACAAAGTTACGTATTTTTTTTTTTTTTTTTTTTTTAAGAAATTCCAATTAGTCATTGATTAATAACACCTTTGGATTCTTTAAGGTACTCGCACAATAGTAAAATCGACACCCCCAAAAATTTTCAAACTTAGGGTGTTCTCAAGCGCCTAAATCAATAGATCGGAGATCTATTTTTAAGGGTAGAGTACATGTAGATCATTTTTCATATGATCTGTATAGCAAATTTCTATTTTTGCAAAAAATTGAAAGATGTTATTAATAAAATTCTTTAAGTTTATATTTAAATTTTATCAAATTTTTATAATATATAGAGTTAAATATACTTTATCTAATATATAAATTTTACTTGGTAAATTATTTTAAAAAAATATACTTGTATATATTGTAAAGTTCTCTGAGGTAAATTCAAATTCTTTGAGGTAAACAAAATAATCAATTATGATTAGTTAATTTCTATAACATCCAATATAAAATTTTATTTAAATTTTAGAACTAAATATTTAAATATTCATATCTCAATGAATATTTAACTAATTTTAATGATTTTATTATCATTAGGTGGTTTGAAGTTATAATTTCGTTTAACGTCCCCCCCCCCTCCACCCTCTAGGGCTCCCCCCTAAAATTAAACAATATTAAAGTAACCAATCAAAAAAGATTTTAAGATCATATATCAAAACT